TCGTAAACACTTCGTTCATTCATAAAATTAGCGTGTTTTTGAAGTTAAAGAAAAATTTTACTCGAAACTTTTCTGAACAACTTGTGACACCAAATTGTAATATTGTAATAAAACTCCAGTAAGTGTAAAGAATTTATGAAAGGAGATGTGCAGAATTTATAAAATCGAAGCAGTTCAAAACGAAATACTATAATTTGTTGATTTGAAATAACATCAATAATTTTGAGTTAACTACAAAGACAAAAAAAGGAAAACCTAACAAGGCACAACCACTATAGAACAACTGGAAAAAATAATGCTGACATCAGCTAATAAACTCAACTTTTATACTTTATTTCCTAAAAAAAGTCTTCAACGACGGTTGTTTTGCCTTTTATGATAACTGATGTATTTATCATTTTGCCGTGTACTCCCTTTTATTTTACCTTCCGCGTATCTAGTCCACCCAAAATATTGTTTCTTTTGCACATTGTGCGACAAGGAGGGGGGGGGGCGGTTTACCGTTCTTTTAGTGGCACATATTGGCCTTTTTGTCATTAAATTACCTCTGAAGATTCATCTAGAAAGAAATGTGAGTGTGCTGGAACAGCTCCAATTAGTTGGGCATGCTCACTACGGACGTGGCTTTGGGATGGTTTTCAAGTATTTTGGATTTCTATTTTGAAAAGTCGTATAATTGTTAGAAAGCTTTATTAGCGAGCAACTGAATTATATTAGTCTGATTAGAGTAACCTGTCGTTTTTTGTTTTACATGTTGCTTTCTTAATCTACTCTGACTTAGGAAACCTGTTGCCTCTATTCAAAATATTTATTTTGGAGCCAGTTTATGCTTTTTGGGGAGCTGTAAGACCTAGCTACTCGTCCTTACTAGTTTGATTAGAGTTAATCAATCAACTTTTTTGAATTACATGCTTTTTTTTGGGCGTTTGTTTTTATCTTTTTCGTACTTCCGAGAACTTCACTTGGAAAATTTATTTCCGAACCAGTCTATGCTTATCAGAAAGTTCTTTGAACGTGTTATCACTCTGTGTGTTAACGACTATAGGATCTCTTCAAAATAAAAATCCTGAATATTTAAAAACCGTCTTAAGTCATTTCTCTGATAAGCCCGGTGTCGAAGCAGTTGAAATTGTTCCAGCAGGTGTGCATTTTTTTTGGTAAAGCTTCAGAGGCAGTTTGAAGATGAGAAGGCCTATACAAACTAAAATGTCACAGGTTTTTGGATTTTTTCAAATCCGCTATTCTGTAGGACCTAGTGCCTGTCTGCCAGTTCAAGAATGATTATCTCAAAGGGTAGGGGGAGAGGGGGGAGAGAAGGGAACGGGTAAAAGGTTAGGCGGTCCTAAAATGGCGAAAGGGTGAAGTTTTTTTTAAAAATTGTTGTCTGCTGAGACTTTCAGCCCTACTCATTAGTAGTGGATTTCTGAAAAATTTTTTGTATTTGAAAGAATTTCTTTTGTAAGTTTGGAGAAGTGGTGCAACAAATATATATTCAAATTATGTCTAAAATTAGAGTAGGAACAATAATTTTGGTTGCTGTTCTTTAAAAAGTGGTATTTTAAGTTTTTGAGAACAGTCGAGTCTATCAGAGAAATAATTTCGTATAGTATATCAGAAGTGTAAGGTAGTATTTTGTCGTATCAGTGGTTGCATCTCGACTGGTAAGGATAGGCCGTAGAGAATCTTTATTTAATTCAAAATTTTGACATTCTTGCAAGCTAGAGCATTCCTGTTTCAACCGAGATATTGTTGTTGTGAGGGACGCGGTAGTTTAGTTCGTTCCGTCATCGATATTTAATGAGAAATCTATTCTGCCAAGTGACCTATAAAGGTTTTTCACGAAAAGAATTGCCGTAATGATTACTTTTCAAATTTGTATCGTTTCGTGAACTCTTTTTAACATTAATTTTTGATGGAGAATGACAGTAAATATTTTTGCTGATATCCTCGCTGCGATGTATAGTACCATGGGATAGAATTCATTCGTGATTGCAATTTGCGAGCTTATACGGAAGACGTGTCAACAAAATTTATATTTATTTAAGGATGCAAAAATTTTTGATACTTCTACCATATGGTTCAGTACTTGGTTGTAAAGGTCGTTGGCGAATAAAACTTGAAATTACTCTTTTTTATGCTAGCTCTTGTTGCTAGTTTTTCCACTGTGGCTCGTATACCGATATGCGCGGTATTGTGAAGAAGTGTCATTCTGTTGCGTCTCTGAAGTCTGTATAATGAAAAATAAGTTTCTCCAAGTTTCTGCAGTTTTTGTATCGTGTACGCCTCCATCGAAAAAGTTGATGATTTATTTTGAACTGCATTTCTTCCGGAAGTCTAATAAAAGGTGCTGGAATATGTTTGCAGTTCTCGTATCATGGGTTTATTAATCTGATATTGCAGTGAGACTGTTAAAAGTAATGTGGAACGCAGAATCCTCCTTTCAACTTGTTGCAAGCAAAGGTTTGCTTATTTTCTCAGCAGTATTTCTGACTGGCATTCTAAACTACCACTGATTCGTTTTAGCAAGTTCGCAAGTTATGCGCTGTTTTGTCACTTCCTGTGAACGTTCGTCTAGAAAACTGTCCGCGTTTCCAAGAGGTCCGCAAAAAAAAATTCTGTCTGAGGTTTCAGTCCTAGTGATTAATAAGAATTTGTTAATAAAAATGAAACAGCGAGAAACACTTATTTGGCAGACAAGTGATCTTTGACTTCTGAGTACTCCAAAAGCTTTTAACGCCACATGGTGGATTAAGTGTTAATTTAGCAGTGTGAATGATCTTAAACAACAGTTTTGGTTCTACAAAGACTTGTTGTTTGAGTCCGAAAGAATGGTGTGGTGGCTTAATTTTCTCTTTTCTTCTGCGGTATATCTCACGAAGTGAATCTTACCGCGTTGTCAAGGTGTGGTAAACGACGTTTTAGTAACCCAAAGGTTATTCTGAAGAAGAACGGTCTTGACGCGTAAAAATTCTAAAGATTGGCTGAAGAATGTATTTTTTTACGGATTCAATGAACTTTTGGAGATTTCGAGGCACTGCTACCCAAGAATATTGTTTGGGAGAGTGTGAGAGTGTTTCAAAGTTGGGAGGTGCCGATGGGGGCGGAAAAGAAATGAAGAGGTTTTTTTGGCATTGGGAGAATTTGTCTGTGGGGTAGGGGAAAAAGTTTGGAGAGGGTGGAGGGCTCAGGATTTAAAACATTGTATTTCACGACTTTTTGAGAACATACTTATTGAATTTTAATATATTAAAGACTAGGCAAAGACACAAACAATTCCTCAAGCTGGGCGCTGGTGGATATCAACCTGTAGTGTTGGTGTTAAAAAAGCTTGAGAGATTCTCAGACACTTTTACAACATGTTTTCGTTCTTGTTTGACTGTACATTTTGAATTTGGGGATATATTTTGTTTGTCATTATCAACAAAACTATTATTTGTTAGATGGAAAAATACTTTACAGTTTACTGGTTCATACTTTGCTAAATCTCCCTCGCTTTTTGCAAAATAGAAGCTAAAAAGCTTTCTTACAGAATTGAACTGAGTGAGATAGGTTGTCTTATCACAGTGAGTTTGGTTAAAGTAGGATTGAATTTGACGCATGTAGTCGTAGGTCCAGTTTTTATAAAATAATTGTACCTGAAGCTTAAATTTCTATAATTGTTGAGTTATCTGCTGCAGTTTAATACTAGGGGTTTAGAAGTTTGTAAAAGTATACTGGCTTTTTTGAAACTACAAAGAGTTAAGACAGAGTGGAGTGAAAATTTTCTGTAAAAAAGTCTAAAAGTTGCAGGGACTATCAAGGCATGCTTGAAACTAACTCTAAATTTCAACAGAGTTATAAGAGTGCTATTAGAATATACTTGTATATAATCAAAGTACAGTTTTAGGAGCTAGAGAACATATTGTTCAGTCTACTACGACAAAGCATACTGCCGATGGTCAGCCGATAATAAGCGGTGTTACAAAAGATGGAGCTCTTTTGCATTCTGGGATTTTTCAGAGTTCTGGCAGGCTTGAAACTGCAACAATTATTACTACAACGACAACTACATATAAAAGCTATGAAAATACAGGTAAATATGTAGCAAAAGAAAACATTACCAGTCCGGAAGCGGCAACAAATGGACTCAAAGAAAAGGACGCGAAGCGGCAAACAAAACCTTTAACTAAAAAAAGAAGTTTTGAAAACATTGATAACTACAACCATTACAGCGGATCTATCGTTAATATGAGTAAAGCACGAGAAATAGTAGGAGAGCCTATTGAAAATATTGTGCATTTATATCACAGCGGGCACTCGCTACCCCATTTAGAAGTTGAAGAGCAGAACATTGAAGAAGAAGTTAGCTCTATTATAGCAAGAATTTCTCAAACTATAAAGAAAGGCCATGAGTCCGGAGCACCTAAGAGGGAAACGGCGTTAAAGCACAAGGTCCAAAGTGTACGGGAAAGTAAAGATCAGCAAAATCTCCAACGCATACTTCAGCAGCTTCAAAATACCGTTGAAAAGAATGGTAATCAGGGAAAAGAGGTAACATCGGAACAACATTTACAAGAACAAGTAAATGAGATACATACTACCAACTATTTTTCGAACCTGGCGGTATACCAGATGACGGCGCTGAAAGGAGAAGAAAGTATTATTGATCAAGAAGAATCAAACCGAAATTTGCCCAAGAAAAAAACTATTGATACACTGCAGTCTTTAGCAGACAAATTAAACTGCTGCCAACGAAAGGCAAATGTAACTTACGATTATCCGCAGCCGGAACAGTACACAGAATCAACTGAACACCTTCGCATCGCTAAAGAAATAAATGCTCAGCCACTTTTTCATTTTGTTACGGTTGTACGCAATACGGGAGCACAAGTACAACAGCAGTTAGAAGCAGCAAAAGAGGAAGCCGTGGAAGTAGGTAACGGTTTTAAAAGACAGTCAGCTGAAAGATGCCAAACGGTAGTGAAAGGAACACGGTTGCACCAAAACTTACAGACTCATGAAAGTAGCCTTTCGTCATTTGAGAGAGATGAGTTGGAGCACTTCGCTCAAAATCGAGGTGAGAATTCTGAAGAGGAGGGAACTGAAAGAGGGCAAGGAAAGAGACAAAAAATAGAAAGTGATTTTTCATGGTTGCTTAGCAAAAATGCACCAAAAAACGGCAGCTCAAAACCTCCGTTTTACAAAGGAACGTTTGAGGGTTTGTCGCTAGAGAAAGAGCTGCCGGTCGAGCCGTTGAGCAAATATGTTGCGGTATTAAAACAAGGGGGTAACCAGCCAAACGTTTATTACAGTAGGAGAGTCGATGACCATGAAACACTTCAAGAAACTGACCTCTCCCAAACGCCACAACCAAATAAAGTAAAATCGCACGGTATGATCTCGGAAACACCAGATTACACAGACTGCATTGGACCGAACGAAGAAAGACGCAGCGAGTTATGTAGGAAACACCCAGCAGATTCAAAATGCGGTCCATCTTACACGTCCTATGCGCATAAAAACACAATGCAAAATCAGCATAATATTGAATTCTCGCCAATTCACGACCCTGTGACCGTTCGTCACACCGGTGACAACTGTGACAATCCTAATTTAGAAACCTTTTTGGAAAGAATTGTCTTCACAGACGATAGAGTAATGACAATGCGTAATTCCCATGAACTAAATTACAACCAACTGAATTCGGCATCCGTCACTGAATCAGATTCAGCTCCACCTGGTGTGCCCAAAACTGAAATACATGATGAAAAGCTTTGCTCCCAACCCCTCGTTTTTCAATCACGGCGATCTTACAACCCTCAAGTTTACAACACAAGAAATCGTGAACAAGAAATACAGAGCGCAGAAGCCACGATTACTGACGTTTCCCCGGAACAGTACACCCTAACCGAGAAAACGACCACTAATGCACAAAATGGCGGCCCCAAGTCGGTGTTCCTTCAAGCGGAACTAAATCACGCCTGTACGTATAACTCTCCCGACTTAAACATCAGCGTACCTAAAGAACATTCACCGCACAGAACCAATGCGTCCCAATCAATACTGCTACACAATCAGACGGCGACCGCAGCGTTTCTTCATCCGGCTGCCACGGAACCGGACAGGACACCAATGCTCTTTCAAAGAGAGACACAGATCAATTCTCACCAATTCATAACGTTCCTCCCTCACGAACTTTCTCCGGAACCGCTTTCCTCACACGTCAACGTATATCACCCAGGAATATCCCGTGTAGTTCCCAACCACGAGAGAACAGCAGGTGTGAGAAGACCGCGAGAACTTGAAGGAAACCTTGCCGACCTCGTCACATACAAATCTGAGGATTCTCCCTATCCGAGATCTAAAGCATACGCCGTTAATCTCTCTCTAATGCCACTCAAGAAAGAGCTCGAACACATGCCAATTCACCAGGTTGTGGACCTGCATCATAGCGGAACATACGATTACTTACCACAGAAATCTGCACCAGAGCCAACACTGCACAAGGAGAAACGGGAACCTCTTCCAGTTTTCAAATCTAAATCTTTTCCAGGAACCCAGCGGGTGCTACAAGCCTTGGAAGGAGAGACCGTGGCATTTGCCATCATTCCGCGCACATTTCTCTCACATGAGCTTTCTCAAGACCCGCTTTCCTCGGCTGTTGACGAATATCATTCAGGAATATCCGCCGTACCTGTCCCTGAAGAGAGAAGAAAAGGTGTGGGAAAACTACGAGAGTTTGACGAGAACTTTGCCGACCTCGTCACTTTTAGAACTAACGAGGGCGCCTATTCGAGGTCGGAACCCTACCTCGGCGACGTAAGCTGCCTGTCAGTCGAGATAGAGCTCGAACACCTGCCACTTAAAATGCTTGCAGACGAGTACCACAGCGGAACCTCCTGTTACTTCCTCCGGAAATCTCCAACAGAGCCACCAGTGATTCAGGAGAAAGAAGAGCCTGTTCTACTTTCGAAATATCAAGCAATTGCAGGAACTCAGCGAGTGCTAGAGTCTTTCACACGGGAGAAAGTTGTATTTGACATAATTTCGCGCACATCACTCTCAAACGAACTTTCTCTTCAGCCGATTTCATCGGAGGTTAACGTGTATCACTCAGGAATATCTATAGCAATTCTTCCCAAAGACAGAAGAAAGGGAGTGGGAACACGACAAGAATTTCAAGAGAAGCTTCCCGAAGTTCTCACTTTCGGAGGTAGCGAGAGCGCGTATCCCAGATCCGAAGCATACCTGGGCGACACGCGCTTCCTACCAGTCGGCGCAGACCTCGAACACATGCCAATTCATAAGGTCGCGGACGTGTATCATAGCGGGACTTACGATTACTTATCCCAGAAACCTCTAGTGGACATAACAGTGTTCAAGCGGAAAGAGGAGCCTATTTCGATTTTAAAACATGAGCCAGTTACAGCATCCCAATGGGTGCCAGAAGCATTTAAAGGAGACGGCATTCCTTTTGACATTATTCAGCGCACATTGCTCTCAAATGAGCTTTGTCCTGAACCGCTCTCCTCCCAGGTTCACGTATACCATTCAGGAATATCGTACGTCACTGTTCCCGAGGAGAGAAGAAAAGGACTCGGAAGATTAGGAGAATTTGAAGAAAAGCTTGCCGATCTCGTCTTTTTCAGAACGAGCGAGGGTGTTTATCCGAGATCGCAACCGTACCTGAATGACGTCCATTTCCTGCAACTCAACGCAGAGCTCCAACACAAGCCAATTCATCAGGTTGTGGTCGTGTATCACACCGGAACCTACGACTACTTGCCCGAGAAATCAGTTATAGAA